ACTGGCAATTTAAAAATAAACGTCGACTTGCGCATGCACGATACATATAAAGCTCTCACTGACGCCAGTTGCACGCATGTGTTTCGATCTGTCATTGTTGATCATGAATTTGGTTGTTTTTCTAAACGTGTGGTTCTTTGTCCTAAATGTGCGATTCTTTGTCCTAAAAATGAACACGTTCATAAATTAAATGAAGAAATTTTGGATATACTTGATGGGGATGTTCACACCTATTTCAGTGATGATTCTATTGATTCAACAGATGATGCCAAAAAGGAAAATTTTCCCAGTGAATTTCTTAATAGTATTACTCCTTCGGGAATGCCATGTCATAAATTAAAATTGAAAGTAGGTGCAATCATCATGCTACTGAGAAATCTTAATAGTAAATGGGGCCTTTGTAATGGTACTAGACTTATCATCATAAGATTGCGACCTAACATAATCAAAGCTGAAGTATTAACAGGATCTGTGGGAGGAGAGGTTGTTCTGATTTCATGAATTGATTTGTCCCCATCTGACACTGGCCTCCCATTTACATTAATTCAAAGATAGTTTCCCATGATGCCAGCATTTGCGATGACTATTATTAATCACAAGGACAAACTCTAGACAGAGTAGGAATATTCCTACCTGAATCCGTTTTCAGACATGGTCAGTTATATGTTGCTTTCTCTCAAGTTCAAAGAGCATGTAACGTTAAAGTTAAAGTTATAAATGCTTCATCACCAGGGAAATTAGTCAAGCACTCTGAAAGTATTTTTACTCTTAATGTGGTATACAGGGAGATATTAGAATAAGTTTAATAAATTTATCAGTCATTATTATTATTTTTTTTATTGCTTAAAGTAATACAAAGGGTATTACATATGTGTCCATTCCCCCCCCCCCCCCGCCCTAGACAGTCCCCTAGCCTCCCCTATCCCCCAGTGTCTTATGTCCATTGGTTATGCTTATATGCATGCATACAAGTCCTTTGGTTGATCTCTTACCCCCCTACCTCCTGTCCCCCAACCCTCCCCGGCCTTCCCGCTGCAGTTTGACAATCTGTTTGAGGCAGCTCTGCCTCTGTATCTATTATTGTTCAAAAGTTTATAATGGTCTCTATTATCCATGAATGAGTGAGATCATGTGGTAAGTCATTTTTATCAATGCTGTTTTTATATCATGTTTTTGTTTTTATATCATGTCTTTGCTGTTGTTATACCATGTTGTTACTGTTTATTATTAATCAATTTATATATTATTTTCATATACATTTCACTAATTTTCTTTCATCTCTGACACTTCTATTATAGAGAAAGGGTGAATAGTGATATTAAAATATTTCTTCTAATTAATTTCCTTTCAATGTGCATGAATCCGTGCACTGGACCACTGATATTGTAATAACTATGTATGGTGCCGGGGGTACTGAAAATATTGGGGAGAAAACGTAAAGTATATGGCTGTCTAACCCCTATGCTGTAACTGAAATTAATAAAAACAATACTGAATGTGAACTGTAATTGAAAACTAAAATTTAAAGAGAGAGAGAGAGAGAGAGAGAGAGAGAGGGAGAGAGAGAATGAATGAATCCTGGTAAAGCACCACAGGGACCTGTGGGATAATTTCAAAAGTTCCAACATCCAGATAAAAGGAGTCACAGAAGGATAAGATAGAGTGGAGCTAAAAAAAAATATTTGAAAAAATAATGCCTGAAAACCTACCAAATATGGTAAGAGACATAAACTTGCAGATTTAAGATGTTTAATAAACTCCAAAGCAAGATAAATTCAAAGTAAACCATGATTAGGCACATCACAGCCACACTACCGGGAGCCAAAGATAGAGAAGCTTGACTTCAGAGCAAAACGACATGTTATATAAGGAGAAGGATTAGAATGAGTATGCTCTTATCTCTGGAGGCCACAGGCAATGAACAACAGCTTTAAATGCTTAAAGAAAGAGAAAGACTAGCCTGCATTCTTTGTCTGGGGAAATATTCTTCAAGAATGAAGGTGAAATAAAGATATTTACAGAAAGAAATAAACTTAAAGAATTGATTGCCACTGTACCTGTTCTTTAAGAAATGCTAAAGAAAATTCTCCAGTCTGACGAGAAATGAAATCAGCAGGAAACACAGATGTTCAGGAATGAAGAACATTGAAAATGATAAAAATATTAACAAATAAATGATTCTCTTAATTTTTAAAAAATACACATAACTGTATACAGCTTAATATAAACCATGATAGTATTTTAAAAAGTTCTAGTAGCAACATTTAAAAATTTTAAGATATTAATTTTAAAATATGCAAGATATATACAAAGTATAATTTCTATATGTAACCAACATAAAAATTATTAGTTGTTTTATTTTTTTCACACTAAGTCGTCTAAAGCCAGCATGCATTTTATACATACAGCACATTTCAATGAAGAATAAGCACATTTAAAGTGGTCAAAAGCTGCTGTATTGAACAGTGTTGATTTAAAACAAAGGTTCTAACATTTTCTTGAGGGGCTTATAACGTATGTAGATGTAATATATATGCCAACAATGATGGGGAGGGGGATGGCTGCCAGGGTTCCACATTTTACATGAGGCAGAATATTAATTTTAAGTACACTGTGAAAAAATAAGAATATATACATACTGTAATTCTTAGAAAAACCACTAAAAATTTTAATGCAAAGAGATATAGTTAAAAAGACAAAAGATAAATTAGGAGGGAAGGCTAAAAATATTTTAAAAATCCAGAAGACAACAGGAAGGGAGAAACAGAGAACAACAGAAAGGACAAGCAGAAAACAAATGATAACATGGCAGATCTAAACCCAACCGAATCAGCAATTACATTTAGCTGTAATGGACTGGATACTCAAATGTCCAGAGATGAGCAGAATTAATAAAAAATGCCAGACTCAATTAAATGCTGTTTACAAGAAAAATACTTTAAATATGAAAAACAAAATTAACTTGTCAGGGAGAAAGATATACCATACGAACACTGAGCATAAGAAAGCTGGAAGTGGCTGTGCTGAACCAGGTAAGATAAACTTTAAGACAAAGGTATTACTGCTGGGAGCCGGTCCATGCTTGCTGTTTCAAGGGACCTGGCATATATGGCATACTGTTCTTAATATGTTTGCTCACCTTCTTGGCACTATGTGTTTTAACCAAGGTCTCTGAGAAAGGTTGTTTCCCCAGGTAGGGATTTTCCCCTGAAGTTAGGGAGGGAATAAAACCTCTTAACTAGTGCCAGGTGGGTAATTAATCACTTTAACTACGAACAATCATGCTTAAGCTACATAATCTTTACCCCCTGGAATGGAGATAAGAAACGCCCTAACCTTTGTAATAGAGATTGGTAGGATTGAATCAACTGGTATAAATACAGATGTAGTAAGACAGCAAGAGACAGAACTTAGAATACGGAACCAAGAGAGACAGAACCTAGGCACAGAACCTATACAGAACGTTCTCTACAGACAGAAGAACTTCGCTGGAGAGAACATGGCAAAAGATCCTGGACAGAAACTGGCCTCAGAAGCTAGAGACAGAACCTAGCGAGAGAACATGGCAAAAGATCCTGGACTGAACCTGACTACAGAAATTGGCAAGAGAACCTGACTAGAACTTGGTGACTGAACCTGGCTGGAGAACCTGGACAGAACCTGGCTGGAGAACCTAGCAAGAGAACATGGACACAGAACCTGGCTGGAGAACCTAAGCAGAACTTCACTGGAGATCCAGACCAGAACTTGGATGGAGATCCTGGCTAGAGATCCTGGTGAGGCTGCTGATCAACTGAACACTGTCTCCGTGTCCTTCCTTTTCGCCGACTCCGTCTACACCTTTGGGGACCCCTGGACCCGCTGGGGTTGGACCCCGGCAACGCACCTCAATCTCCTTCCACTAATTCCTCAGCCCACCCCCGTCCCATCATCCCCTGAGGAACCAGCGGCTCTCCTGTCCCCATTTTACTCGACTCCTCAGCGGATGGAGACCATGGTGACCACCCTGCTCCCCGCCTTCTCCTTCCCTGACACGCCGTGCCCATCCTCCCTCCATCCGGCATCCTCCCTGCCCGGGGCCAGCGCGCCCTTTTCTGCCCAAACACTGACGTTAGTTCCTCGTGGCACTGCCCCTCTCCAGCTCCAGGGCACGGACACGGAGACCCACGCAGCGGCCTCTCGCCTCCGCCGCCGTGACCAGCAGGCGTGTGCACGCGTGTCTGGTAGCAGCGCGGTCACAACCACTCCTAACCCATGCTGAGGGGAAGTGGCATAAATGAGGACTCGGTGTTCTCTGGGAAATTAAGGTTACCGGCTTCACGGGTGTGAGCACTGGCCTTGGGATGGAAACAAGTGGTTGTGAGCATTCCGCTGTTTAACTGTCCAGTACCCACAGCTCGTGTTTATCATCAGGACCCTACTTTTAAAAGAACACACGCCTGGTAAAGTCCGCTTCTTAGAGCAAGGGCGTTTATAATGTATTTTGGAAAGATTTCTGTCCACAGAAGGTTTAAAACTGTGAAGTTCTAGGGATTCACCCTCAATGACTTCCCTTTTGGACAAAACAAGCCTTGCTGAGCATCATCACGCAAAAGCTGGCACTGCCCCTGAGAGAGGAGGGGGGCCTCCCGCATGGCCTTTGAAGGATCACAGGTGGTTCAGAATTAAAAGCATACATCGGTTCATATTCTGGGATGTACCACCAGCAATTAAGCAGTAAAAATATTTCAGTCCAAGTCTAACCAGACCAGAAATGTCTCAAAAACACATCCGAGGAAAATGAAATCTACCCCGGGTGTTATTTTAACACCCGGCTCCCGGTATGTAAAGTGAACAGCCTGCCCTGGCGACAGCTAGATCACGGGCGTCAGACGGCCACGGAGAGGCCCCAGCGAGGAGGGGAGCGTGGCCAGACGGACAGAGGCACCAGGAGGCCGACGGTGGGGAAGGCACCAGGAGGCAGGACAGGACGCAGCGCTGAGGCGACTGCTGCCGCTTACCTGCGGTGGGGGAGTTGGCGTGGTGCGACTTTTTTGGCAGGTTGAAGATCTGTTCGCCAGGGTCGGGGGGAGGAATTGCATCTTGCCCTTGTCGTGCTTCTACGGGGTCGTACTCCTTGCCGTCGTAGTTCGCGTCATAGAACTTCTTGAACCACTGGATGAAGTCCAGGTTGTCCTGGAAGCGCCCTTTCACTAGCTTCTCCACCGGAATCACCTGCAACAGAAGAGCCTGTGAGTCGCCAGCCCAGGGCTCGCTTGTGGCTGATACAACTGCAGCGGCCCCTCCATGTAACTGTTCCCACATGTCTGCCCTTCACGACCACTGGCCTCTCCCCCAGCTTCCTAGCCAGCCCCAGTCTAGAATTCGTCATTTTTCACCATATTGAATAAACAACAACACACCTACAATGTTGTAGTTGGGCCTGGCTGGCGTGGCTCAGTGGCTGAGTATCAACCTACAAACCAGGAGGTCACAGTTCGATTCCCGGTCAGGGCACATGCCTGGGTTGCAGGCTCGATCCCCAGCATGGGGTGTGCAGGAGGCAGCCGATCAATGATTCTCTCTAATCATTGATGTTTCTATCTCTCTCTCCCTCTCCCTTCTTCTTTGAAATCAATAAAAATATATTTAAAAAATATTGTAGTTGGTTTTCTTGGAATTATTTAACATTTCTGAACAACCGGACAAAACAAGGAATACCCTCAGCCAATAGGGGCCGATCCTCTTTATAGTGTGTTTATGCCAGAGCATCTCCCCCAAATCACGGGCCTGGGATGCTGTGCTGTTTCAAGGCTGATGGATTTTCCTTACTTCTTTGTAGCACTTGGTCCAGTTGTGTAGGAATAAACGCTTACAAGGATTATAGCTGCTAGAGAGTGTGAGTACATAGACTCAAATCACTGTAAACACACACCAGCCTAGTGGTCCAAGTGAGCCTGCGCAGGGCTTGCTAAGGCTGTAGAGCGAGAGGCACCAAAACAACTAACCACCCAGTGCAGGCCCAGTAATTCTTGGGGTGCACAGGAGCACAGCTAGCATGCCGTGGAAGGAGTGGGGCTGGTTAGGGGAGTCCCGGAAGGCAGCCTGGAGGAGGTGCGAACATTAACCTCAACTTCTGAGACGAACCTCAGCTCTTCCTTTCCTATCGGCAACCTGCAGGGCCAGGCAGTGTTCCCTTTGGAGCTCTCGCGGGAGCCTGGGTTCTACGACAGGAAGTGTGTGGCCTGACTGCTTCGCTTCCATGCAGTGGCAGCTACTTCTAAAGGGAATGGAAGGTGCGGAGTTGTCCAAACTGCACCATTACCAGAGTCTTACTTCTCACCTGTGGGTTGGAACACCAGCTGAGCGTGAGCCCTGAGAGCTATAGAGCTGGGGGGCGAGTCAGGTTGTGTGTGCGAATGTGTGTGAGTGTGAATTCAGACAAACCCAGCGCTCAAAGAACGCAGCGCCACTGCCATGGTACCAGCGGGAACTGTATAAACTACCTTTCCAGCAGGTCTGTGCCACCTCAGGAGAGATGTACCACTGGTATCCTATGGACCATGAGGGCCGCTTTAAAAAAGTAGGGAGACCTCAAAGACCCGTGACAGATTGAAACAGAAAAAGGGACTGGAGCATTTTAGGGCATCCGTTAAACTCAATTCTTCGCAAAACATAGTTTCAGAGGTGATTTTTATGCAGCTAAAACGGAAAGCAAGTCAACTACGGAACAAAACACAGAGAAGCAAGCTTCCGCAGGAGCCACGTTTTCCAAGAAGGCTCCTCCGGGGATGGAGACTCGATGCCGAATCTCTTCTCTCCCCAGACCTCAGGGACGTCGGCCCCCGCAAGCACTTAGCCGGCTCTTCATTGTGCCATTTAAAGATTTTCATGTCTCCTGATTTATAGGTTCTGTCTGTGCTGCTATTGATTGTTTAAGAAAGTGCCTTCTTCGCGCAGAAGCCCTTTAATTAACACGCTGTATGTTCTGCTTTCTGCCGAACATGAGCATCGATGAACAGACTTAGATGATGGTGCCCACTGGCCATTAAAGGACGCACTCACTTCCGCTGTCTTAACTCTGCATCCCCTGCAAAGTGCGGGCTCTGGGGAGACGTGCACAGGGGCCGCGTCTCTCCAAGGGCCTCTGGGTGGAATCACAGCATGTGAAGCGGGCGAGGCCAGCAAAGGCCATCGAGGCCAGCCTTCCTCCACTACAAGCGCCTCATCTTCAACACTCCTGACAATGGCTCATCCGCTCTGTGTGTCTGTGCTTCTGGAGAGCTAGGGGCCCTGATTGATTAGAGAGCATGCTCCATCAGTAAACCTATAAAAGGGCGTTTCTTTCAGACTAGAAGCAGCTGCTGAAAAGTGAGAGAAGACGTGGGGGACGCTGCTAATGAGGAAGGGGAACCTGCACAGCCCTGGCTCTGAAGGAGCGAACTGGAAAGGAACCACAGCAAAGGACGTAAAAACGAAGCTGAAAAGCATTCGGAAGGTTAAGATGTTAAAGAGAATATGTTTTGAAATGAAAATTCTGAGAAAAGGAAAACTAAGATTTTAATCGTTTGATAAGAATGTTTTTATTTAGAAAGGTTTTAATTGCATTAAATTGAAAATATCTTCGATTTGCCAAACCTTTCTCTTTTCCCTTATTTAACTTCTGTTTCTTAATAATCCAGGACTTTAGTTTTTATTTCCATAGCCTATTTATTGCTATTATCTATGCAAAGAAAAGTTTTGCATTTCTCCCCTGCTGGCTTGTTTATTTTCTCTTATTCAAAATTAATTTCTTTCCAAGCCTGTTCCCTCTAAGAGACAGATCCTAAGGAAATAACATGGTTGCATTGCATATGTATGTGAATGGAGGAAACGTACAGACTGCATGGACTTTAGCAATCGTTTTTTGGGGGGAGGGGCACCCAGTCTACCTCCGTTTGTATCACTCTAGGACAAAATTATAAAATCCAAAGGGGAAAAAAGGACAATTTATGGACGTGGATGGAGAATCTGCGTGTATATACCGTGCTGGACATTTTCACGCATTCCTTCACTTGAGCTTCGTATAACCACAGGGAATGGGGTTTTTGTCCTATTTTATAGATGGGTAAATGGAGACTCTGAGAATCTACACTAATAAAAGACAAAGATGCTAACTGACCCCTCCCCCCCCCAGCCAATGCACAAATTTTTGTGCACCAGGCCTGTAGTTTAAGTATAATTTGCTCAGCCCATGTTGCTTCCACGGTAACCACTGTTTCTCTAAAGGAACAAAATACACAAATAACCACAGTGGCACCTGGCAAACATAAACCCTTGTTACTTTCGATGCTAAAGCAGATAACAAAGTTCAACACTGCAATTTCTATGAAGGTTTTTAGTCTAATGGCTCCATGTTTAGGAATCTCCTTAATTAAAAGCCTCATACAAATGTGGGAGGTTAGGGTTGATGCCCTATGCTTTGTACAGACCCCAACCTCCTGCCAGGAGAGCCAGATCTAGTCCATGGACACCCACTGTACCTTTCTACACAGAATCAATGTTAGGGAAGGAAAGTGCATTGAGTGGAGGTGCACCTGAGTCTCCTACCTTATCCACATTCATCCGCTTGAAGGACGCCTGCAGGAGTTTGAAATTGTGAATGTACTCGTGCTCCAACTTCGCCTGGAATTTTACTTTCTTCAAACTGATGCAGCCGGGAAAGAGCATGTCCATGAACTGGCAGTAGGCGGCGCCTGGGGAGACAAGAAAAGCGCGGGGTGAGTCTCGCCACCTGTCCCTGGTGCCACTGGGGACGCTGGGCAGGAGGGGCTGTCATCACCCACAGCCTCCCGGCCCTGCAGCCCCCCCCCCCCCCCAGCTGCCCTCCTGGTCCCAGGCCTGGGTATGGGCGGGAAGGGACGGTGCCCACAGCATCGCCAGGGGTCATGGACAGTGCGTACAGCCTCAGACCCTCATGTCAAGGAAACTGGGTAAGACGGCTCTGCTCAGCTCCCACCAGAAACAACGGCGCCCTATTTTTTCTATCATCCAGCTCCAAGTCATCAAATACATCAGTGTAAGATGGAAATAGCAGACATTTTAACACGAGGCAACGACTAAGGTGCTCCTGAGATGGGCAGCTCAGGAAACACACACAGGCCACACAGTTTACACCTTCACCAAGGGGCTCAGGTGACACGCTAGCCAAGCCACTGCACACCAGTACCGGTCCAACCCCAGCAGGTCCAGGGGTCCCCAAAGGTGTGGACGGAGTCGGCGAAGAAGGAAGGACACGGAGACAGTGTTCAGTTGATCAGCAGCCTAGCCAGGATCTCCAGCCAAGTTCTGGTCTGGATCTCCAGAGAGGTTCTGCTTAGGATCTCCAGCCAGGTTCTGTGTCCATGTTCTCTTGCTAGGTTCTCCAGGTTCTCCAGCCAGGTTCTGTAGCCATGTTCCCTCGCTAGGTTCTCCAGCCAGGTTCTGTAGCCATGCTCCCTCGCTAGGTTCTCCAGCCAGGTTCTGTGTCCATGTTCTCTTGCTAGGTTCTCCAGGTTCTCCAGCCAGGTTCTGTAGCCAAGTTCCCTCGCAAGGTTCTCCAGCCAGGTTCAGTTACCAGGTTCTAGTCAGGTTCTCTTGCCAATTTCTGTAGTCAGGTTCAGTCCAGGATCTTTTGCCATGTTCTCTCCAGCGAAGTTCTTCTGTCTCTAGGTTCTGTGTAGGTCTGTCTTCTAAGTTCTGTCTTTTAAGTTCTGTCTTCTAAGTTCTGTGTTCTAAGTTCTGTGTCTTGCTGTCTTGTTACATCTGTATTTATACCAGTTGATTCAATCCTATCAATCTCTATTACAAAGGTTAGGGCGTTTCTTATCTCCATTCCAGGGAGTAAAGATTATGTAGCTTAAGCATGATTGTTCATAGTTAAAGTGATTAATTACCCGCCTGGCACTTAGTTGAGGGGTTTTATTCCCTCCCTAACTTCAGGGGAAAATCCCTACCTGGGGAAACAACCTTTTTCAGAGAGGAGACCTTGGTTAAAACACATAGTGCCAAGGTGAGCAAAATATTAAGAACAGTATGCCATATATGCCAGGTCCTTTGAAACAGCAAGGATGGACCGGCTCCCGGCACACCAGAGCAGGTGCAGACCCGTTCAATCCAGGCCAGGCCAGGCCACGGGCTCCCACAGGACTTGGAGGAGGGCGACGCTGAAGCCCACAGAGGCCCAGAGTCACGCTGCTCTGACCGAGGAACAAAAGTCACAAAAATGCGCAGAGACTCCTGAGGAAATGGTCATAGAAAACAGGTTTACCAGGAAGGCTCTGATTTCCTAAAATGAACGTTAGATCATGACAATTTCAGCTAGAAAGTCCTTGCCAGGTTATGTTGACTCATTCAGATATTCTTTATGGTCAAGTCTAAGGGTGCTGAGAAGGAGAAATCCAGAGCCAGAATGGTCCTTTCTCTTTAATTAATGAGAGGCGAGCGCGAGGGGTCGTTGCTGCTCTCTCCTCTGCTTCCCCAGGTCTCGGGGGGTGGGGGTGGGAGTGCTCCTGTGATGCGCCGGGATGGGCCTCTCTGGAACACGAAGGCTCCTTTCACCCTTTGTACCAGGGTTTCTGTGCGAAGCCTTCACTCCTCGGGCGACTCACCTTTACCTAGAAGACCCCACTGGGTGTCCCATGTCAGATGGGTGCTGAGCATCCCTTATTGGGACAGGAATCCAAGATAAGAGGGAAGAGGATACCAGGGCTTACTTAGGCCAAGGGCTGCCAGGCCAGGAAATGGCGGGGCAGCTCACTCCCGGGTAAGAGCGTACAGTGATGAGATAAGGCCACACTGAGCATGTCCAGCCGTCTTTACATCCGGGATGCTTCCCCTTAGATGCCGGTACCCTACACTAACTGGTCCATCTCTAGTCAAGCAGACGGGTTCTCTTTAAAACACGACAGGACGGAACAAGCCAAACGAAAACATCAGGGGAGGCAAGAGAAACATCATGCCGCGGGTGTGCTCATATTCAACTCTTCAGTTCTCCCTCTTGAAGTGCCACCAGATGGAGCGAATTCCAACAGCCATCTTAACATTATTTTTATAGAAATGGAGGCGTCTACATACACGGCCTCATCTCCTGCTCTTTCAAGAGTTTAGCATAGATTTTGCCTGTGCAGAGCCAGATATCTTTGGATCCTTACAAAGAATCAACCAAACCACTTACTAAAAATAGCTCTTGAAAAACAACAATAAACTTGACTGAGGGAGGCAGAGAAAACCACCGTTTATGTTCTGGTATGTACTTTTTTTTTTTTTTTTAGTTTAACAAACCATGATTCCCTTCCCGAGCCATAGAATATTCTTTACTGACATTTTTAATGGCGTTCTGATTTTTACATCATGCTTAGCAACGTTCCCAAACCAAGATGACATAAATATTCACGTGCCGGTTCTTCAAATACTTTTATGGTTTCAGGTTTTACATGGACATTCTGAACCCACGTGGAGTTTATTTCGGTCTCTGACAGATACGGGAGGTTCTAGCTGTGCGGACCCCACGTTAGTGGGAACCGGCATTTTGGGCTCCAGCATTTGGGCACCTTCCTACCCGAGCTGATGCCCCAGTGCCCCGCCCCCTACTCTAGTAGCAAAAGTGGGCAGCCACCCCTCCCACCCCCAGCAGTAAGCACGCCGGCCGCCCGGCCACCAGGCTCTGCATCTGGGTGCTCACTGCGTCTCGGGGTCGGAGGGAGTGACAGGAGCACGCGGGGACCCTGAGCATGCAGTCACGGTCGCAGGGTGGGTCTGGAGAACTGAAACAGCGACACAGCACTGTGGCCGCCTCACCACTCGTCCAGGGGCACGAGGCAGGCTGTCCCGGCTCCTGAGCATCTTTTGGTTGCGGTCATTTTCTGAGTGTGGTTTCCCACGGATGCTGTTTCCCAGTATCCTTCCTTTCAATCAGGGGTGGGGAACCTTTCTTCAGTCAAGAGCCATGTAGATGTTTATAACATGAGTCCAGGGCCATACACAATTATCAACCTAAACATTAGCTGCTCTATTCGGTCAAGCATTTAATGGATTCACCCTGAAGGCCTTGGCAGGGCCGGACCAAATGACGTCACGGTCTGTATAAGGCCGGACGTTCCCCACCCTGCTTTAAAGCATTTTCTGCCAGGAGTATTTTCTTCTATTTTCAACCCAAAAGGCCAACTGATAAGGGTGGCTAAGTGTTGAACACCATTATTTCACAAATGACCTATACTTTTCCCACTGAGGAAAAACAGTATCTTTACTATATATTACTTCCCAAATACATGCATTTAGGTCTCTTTCTAGATTTAAAATGTACTACTATCTGTAGAATAATTTTCCCTTTCCCCTTAAAAATTTCTTGAATTTTATCATGCAGTTGTCCTTTCTATTATATTTTTTTAATTTGTCATTCATGGCATAAAGAAAATCAAAATTTAAAAAAATTACTCATTTACTACTTAATAACAGAACTTTATTAAGATATAATGCACACATCATAAAGTTCAACCTTTTAAAGTATATTTCATGGTTTTTAATATAGTCACAGAATTGTGCAACCATCAGAAGATTTTAATTACCCCCAAAAGAAACGCCATGCCTATTAGCAATTCTCTCTTCTCTCCTCCCACCAGACTCTCGTAACCACTAATCTATTTTCTGTCTCTATGAATTTGCCTAATTTTGATATTTAATATAAATGAGATCATGAAATAGGTGGCCTTTGTGTCTGGTTTCTCTCACTTAGCAAAATCTTTCAAGGTGCATCCATGTTGTGGTGTATCCGAAGCTCCTACTCCTTTTTATGGTTGATAATACTCTATTGTTATTATTGAATATTATGACTATACACATTTTATTGCCCCTTCGTGCTATGAACATTTGTGGACAAGGTTTTGCATGGACAAACGTTTTTAGTTCTCTTGGGACACACCTGGGAGTGGATATGCTAACTCTATATTTAACATTTGAAGAGCTGCCAATGTTGTGATTTTATATATTAATATATACTTTTAATATTTCATTTTACGTGTGTGTGTGTATATATATATATATATATACACACATATATATATATATATATATATATATATATATATTAAGCATTTCATCTCTCCCCTGCCTACCTCCCTCTCCTCCTGTATATATTTATACACACATATACATAGAAATATAACTACTATCAAAATCTCACTTTCCTCAAAATATGATGCAATCTTTGGAGAAGGCACGAAGTTATATCAGTTCCTGCCACAGCTACTCACATCGCCCATCTGAATTTTTCGCAGGACAAGGAACTATTATACAGAAATGCCTATATCACTGGGGGACTCAGTCCCAACTTTCCACAGTCTTACTCGGTGCTGATGAAGGGTCAGAAGAAACCAACGACCACCTTACTGTACGGGATGCATCTACATGATTTATCTAAACGATCTGCAATAGCTCGTCTCTCCATCTAACACCAGCAAGGACGGGGAGGGGGCGGGGAAGGACAGAGAGCTGGACTGTGCTCCTCGGATCTCAGCCTTCCTCATCTTGAATGAACCGTGACATGTCATCACACTCTTCTAAGCCAACAGTATTCCTATCTGCAAAACGTCAGGTTTGGATGGATCTCCCAGCTCTAAAATTAGATGGTTCTCTAATTCTCAGCGTCCCTTGTAAGGGATCCTGGCTGTTTCTGCTAACTTGGAGATAGTGCTTCACCCTCATATGACTTAGACTTTTG